CTGGGGCATTCTGGGGTTCAGCTGCTAGTATTTTCAACACATTCCCACAGTAAACATTTCACACTGGATACACGGAGTCTGGTCTTTACACATTCCATTTAAATCGGAAATTACAAACTCATTTTAAAAAACCCTCTAGATCTGCTTAAAACTATGAAGATGGGATTTAAGTCACTGCCCATAAACTGGCATGTTTCGATGTTACATTTACAGCAATATTATTAAAGCGTATCTCAATGCAGTCGTGTCTGTCCCTGGCCTTTTCAGCCTGAACAAAAGCATATGCCTGTCAGGGCAATCTCAGAAACTTGGACGCCCCGAAAACTACAAATGGAAAGAGATCACAAGTAAAAAAGTTGAAGGCATAGCAGCTGTAGCATGAATGTCCCAAAGAAATAGCCATGCCAGAACGTTAGCACCCCCAGGAAACAGCCTGTGAAACTGGAAAAGCTCTTTAAAAATAAATAAGAAACCAACAAATACCACAAACAAACAACACCCACCCCCCAACTCCAAACTGTGCACTGAACAGCTATTTAACCAGGTTTTCACCTGATACTTTAACAGTAAGTAACATCAACTTAGTCAGAAATGACACATGCTGCAACAGCAAACAAAGCTGGCTGCTGATAGGCGCACAACAGAAACTGCAAGTATTTGGTCTTGTAAGACACACTGCTTTGTATTAAAAAGGGAGAGATGTTTTCTTAATTAACAGAGGAGTTCTGCTATCACTGAAGCCACCAGTGGGAGTCATGAAGTTAATCAGACCTGGATGAGATTCCATCCAGCCCGATCCATGCCATTTAATTTATTTTACCAGCAAAATCTGGTCCTAAAATGCACCATGAGCAGAACAAACACCTGAGAAAGCAATTTGGAGTTTGTTTACATGAGAAGCACTGCATACTCATAAATCATCTTTGTAATTTAGATGGGCCACTCACTTTTGCGAGGGAAGGGCACGTCTTTCCCGTCAAGGATAAACCAAGGACTTTGACTAGCATTATAAAGGACAGTAGTACAGTGTGATTAAGTGAGGAGAGAAGCCATCGGCTAACAACATGATTTGTGGCTGATGCCAACAGAAACTCTCAGCAATTCTGAATGCTTGTCACTAAGCAAGTTACAAAAGCTGGCACAGGCAGTTGGGAGCAAAGCTGAGTGTGGAAGACACTGAGTCCTGGGTCTCTCCACAGCCTCATCAACTGAAACCTGAGCAGCAATTACTGTACAAAACACTCTTCTTGCAGAAAAGCAGTAGTATTAAAAAGAAAACCATCTGCAACAAGCAGAATATCCAGAGTTCCCTCTGCACTAAGAGCTGTATCACGAAACGACTGTATTCTGGTAGCACCAGGAATCACCCCATGCACTTCTATGTCTTTATCAAAAACCTAATACCTCGAGCACTTTAATGCAGATCTTCAATTTTCCTTCCGATCAAATCAGATATGGCTGTTTCTAGACGTTTTCTGTTAGCAGTGTCTCCTCGGGGAATGTAACAGCTTTAGCTTGCTCTCTGGTCATTAAACAGACAACCCATCCCAGCAGGAGCTCTTGTGTCAAATTACATAGTAAAGGGACTTTTGCGTGCTGAAGCGACGTTTAGCAAGTATTAATAAAGTTGTACTATCTTTTATGTTATAAACCCTTACCTTATGCTTCTAGAACAGATTTCTCCACCACTTAAAAACATTCTGAATTCATACCACTAAGTTGTAAAGTCATCAAGCACTATTTTTACCTGTCATTAGTGTTCCATTATACTTGTTCAGACAGCATCCGTATTCCAAACACTCATCCAAACCCCAAAGAAAGTAAAAGGCACATAAACATTAAATATTTGTAGGAGAAACATAATCTGATATAAACAAGCATATGCACTGCTGCAACTATAAATTAAAAAAAGAAACATAGAAACTAAGCAAAAAAAAAAAGCAAAAAGCAACTCTATTTATACATGTGCAAATCAACTTGCATATATGAAATAAATGAGGTTTTTATTGGCATTTTCAAACAGTGTGTATTTACCAACTTTACCTTTCAAAGGCAAGCCTTTTCTGTTAATTTTAATAAATATGTAAATGCTTCTCTCAAGTTTTCTAATCTCATAGGAATAAGATTTCTGAAAACAACTCAGGTCACATACAAAAATACAAAGTTTTAAAACAAAGAATGTCTTGATATGAGAGATATGTTTAAAAGCTTGGAAAATGGTTTTATATTCAACTTTTGACATTTTTTTTCCCCTCAATCACTGATCAATATATTCAAATGCAAGTCATGCAAGAACCTGATTTCTGACGAAAGGAAGCTACAAGCTTTACTGTCCGACTGAAAAACAGCAGCACAGTCCCATCTCTAATATCCTTAAGTGCAAGAATTGGACTGCACTTAATTCTTTAATTAGGAAGGAAAATAGTTATGGAACTCAGACAGGAGGCTGCCCTCTATCCCGAAATGTGGATATATATTATACAGTTTAGTAAATCATTCAAACTTTTATATAGTCTGACATGGATACGCCTGAGTGCTTATCAATGTGTGAACAAACACTGCGGTGTGTGATGGGGGAGTGCTGTATCAGGCTTAGACAGTGCTGTTTACAAAGTTTATGTGCTTACACTTCTCATAGGATAGTCTCCTCTTACAGAAATTTAGACTGAAGCTGTCTTCAGAGAAGTAACACTTTTCTGAAAAGAGAGTTTAAAATTATTCATAGAGCCCTATCAAATTACAGGTCTTGATTCTTTTTTAAGATTAATGAGTCTTCTCTATAGATTCCAGTGGAAATAGGATGAGACCCATCTGATTCCGAAGCCAGTTTAGATGCTCTGTCCCTAGCTGAAATGCAAGAGGCATTGATGCCTGCTATTTCCTTTTTGCCAGTACACAGTTAATTCACTTTAGTAGACTAGAAACAGTGCTACAGCATGAAAGAAACAGCTTACAAGAGACTCTCCCTGCTGTGGTAAAGGCAAATGTAGCACTGAGCAAAGCACTAGACCAGAAAATCTTAAAAATACACAAACCCTTCCATCTTTAAAGGTTCAGAGGCAAAACAAAATGCAGTAGGCCATGTGGACCATACAGTGTGTGTGTGTGAAACAAGCATATATGTATTTACAGCAAAGAATCATACTACAGCAAAAACTAAGGGTTTTGCATTCTTTAAGTGTGCACCTACAACTCTTTGTTCCTGATGTACTTCGGTGCTCTCTCATTCCAAACTAAATTCCTGCCTGAAGAACCTCAGGCTGAACAGGTAACGGCAAGTTCTGCTATTGCCTTTACTTTCAGCACCAAGTGTGTATATGTGTATATATATATATATATATATATATATATATATATATATACATACTGTGATAGTCCGGATGTTCCAGTTGAGCAAATATGCACAGGTATGTGGGGAGTATTTTATATAAACACAAAGTGAATTGTTGCACCTGTTCAGACTGATTTCCAATTCTCCTCCCCCAGCTTTACCAGGGTATTAAAACTGGTGCATATGACATTTGTGCTGACTGAAGCAAATGCTGAGCTATGGTAACAGTAAGGATTTCTGTATTTGTTGGTTTTCTTTTCATGCAAAAAGTTTGCCACCCATTATAGCACCAGCTGTTCTGTTTCTGGAAAATGACTCTAAAATACAGCAGATTTTATCATCATCACAACCCAGTTACAGGTGACCCTGCTCTTCACCAGCTCCCACGTATCTTTTTTGGATACTGGACAGTCTCTCAGGATTAAGATACTATGTAGTCCACAGCAATGTGACGGGATGTAACAGGGAAACTGAGTGCTGACATAGGAAAGAAAAAGCTTGGAAAGCTAATACAACGCTTTTAAATTGAAAATTTAAATACATATACTGTTCTGTTCTCCTGTGTGGAGAATTTATCTGCAATGAAAGAGCATTTCCCTTGCTTGGTCTTTGGTAGGTCAAGAGATACATTGATATTCACACACAGGTAATGAATGCTGGTTACAAGAAAAATCTGAATCAACCAGATACATCCAAGAAAGGAAAACTCAGAAAGTATCCATGCTTGTCACTATTACCTGGTTATGCTTGTTGATCTTTATGGAAAACCCCTTCACATTGATATGAAGTTTTTTTCCTGCATGGTCAAAGCATGTCCAAATTGTAAACCTGCAGACTATGACTGCTTTCAAAATACAGTGCAGGTTTGTTTCTAATTTTAGCATGTAATTTCCTGACTACAAATGGTGCTGTCAAGCATGCCACCTTCTGCTGAAAGTAACAAAAATTACCTCTATGAACCATGACAGTTCAGAAGAGTTAACTTGCTGCTCTAAAGCAAATGAAGTTTGATTTGAATTCCAAACTCCTGAATTGTTTTATTCTAAATTTGTAACTGGTGTGCCTGCTTAAAAAAAGAAAAGGAAAAAAAAAACCAACAAACCAGAAACGCCTCCCAAACCAGAAAAACAAAGAACCCATGAGACTGATCAATGCTTTTCTTAGCAGTTGTTTGTCTCCTCTTACTTGATCTTCAGAAAAGATTTCTCTTTAAAACCTAGCTAGTTATGAAGACATTTTACATTTCTACCATACAATAATTATAGTTAGCTTAGTTTAACCTTTCTATGTCATTCAGCAACACTTTTAACTACTGGAAGCCATAGCAGACTGAGGCTCTAATGATAATATTGCTCCAATGATGCTGAATACTTTTTGCTTCACACAGTATTTCTAGTAGACAGACTATAACGGAAGCATGGGCAAATTCCAAGGATTACTCTCTAAGTGGGACCAGTAAACTGTGACGAGTCCATTCCCAAAATGGCAGTATGTTTGTGTAGCTTTTCCACACTGAGGAATGCCACAACTGTAGTCAGTTGTCAAGTCACTGAGATGTGTCAGACGCTGGCAACTGCTTGTTTGCTCATTCATGATACTCTCGGATTAGACTGCTCTGATGCAGCAGCTCTGATGTAGACAATGCCTTGTTGTGTACAAAGTTTAAAAAAAAAAAAAGACAAAAAAAAAAGAACCGGGCCCAGCTAACCCAAGAACAGGGTACAGAGTTATGAGTCCGAGTTCTTCTGAAGTAAACAACTTCATAGCTGTTCACACTAAAGCAGTACCCAAACCAGTGCACTTAGAATAAAACATCAGTCCTCCTGCCCCTGCACCCCTGCCATCAAGTACACTTTCTCAATTTTCTACTGGAATGAAGTTGAGATCCTTTAGCTAACCGTGATGGGGGATGGCCTAACTCATTACAAAAATAGAAAACACTTCACCCAAACAACAACAACAAAAAAGAAGTTTGATGGGTCTGGGAATTTTCTACAAACTATTCTGTGCAGTCATCTTCAAATCACTGTAGAACATGAAACTCCTTTCTCTTCACAGCCACATGAAGGAATCTGAAGAGTTGCACTGCAGATGTTCTTATAGGAAAAAAAGATCAGTTAGCTGTTTGTTATGAATCCCTCCTCTCTTAGTAGATGATTCTGCCCAGCAATGATAGCTCTGCCTGCAGCGAAAAACCTGGACAAAAGTGCAGGAAGTAATAAGTAGCTCCTCTCAAAACTACTTACATTTTGTTCTCAACTCAAAAGAAGCTCTGCTGCTGCTATAGGCAGTCTTTACAAAGCGCAACCTGCCCCTTAATATAGTCTCTGCATGGGCAGATTCTTCTGTGCGTGGGGTGGGATCCGGCACAGCTGAACAATAAGAGATCACCCTGGAAAACACAGTGCTTCCTTCTTCCATCAAAAGAGGGGACCAGAATATCATTTGCGGACTCCATGGTAAGACATTCGATATTATGCCTAAAAAGCAAAGCAAATGATCTATATCACTGTGGAGTTTACAGGAGTTCAGTACAGTTTTCGTCCTTCATTGCTAAAACAAAAATAAAATGCTATATTAAATCCTAAATCAAGTACACTTAAGAGTTGCAGATTTCCAGAACACAATTCATTTTTTTCTGCTTGCACGGATTCTCTCTGCAGAGGGCAGTACAGCCTTTGCTGCTTTTCTAAAGACTAATGAAACACGTTAAAAAGGAAAAAAATGCTTTTGACTGTTCCCCAGAGCATAGTACTTAAAATACACCATGGATTTCTAGTAAGACAAAACGAAAGAGTATGAAATTGTGAGATACCCTCATTGATTTCAGCAGGGAAGTCCTGTAGGCGAGCCCCACCATGCTAGGCAGCCCTGGACAGCTCGAGGTGAGGTAGCTCAGCCAAACTATGAAGATGAGGCGATAACTACTGTGCAGCAGAAGCTGGTCAGTGTGGGACCTGCTGCTCTGGGGAGCCAGCTAGTGCAGGGCAGCTGAAAACATTAAAATTCCAGTTGCTGTTTTCTGACCACAAAGCTTAAGCACGAGGGTAGCTTCCAGTGGGGGCTTGTTTTTCACTTAGTCTCGAAACACTGGTAGCTTTCAGCATTTAACAGGGCTTTTTTTTCCACAGAATTATAACGTTGTCTAGACGGCTAGAAAGGAAGCCTGACAAAACTTTTCTATGAACTGCTTCTGAATTCCACTGGGAATTACAATTTTTCAAATCAAATACAAAAATAAAAACATTCTAGAGTTTAATTTAGCAAAAAAGTGGAGATAAAAAACCTAGAAAGCAGATTCCCTAACAGCTATTGGTTGGAGCCCAGCTTTGAGTGCTTTGTTTTCATTCTGAAAGGAACACAGACATATTCCTAAAGAGGCAGCACCTGAAAGCAACATTAATTTCCTTAATGCATAGCTGGTAAGCTTCACAAATTGACACTACCTTTCATGTGCAAGGGTTTACAGTTCTTTATGTAGGAAAATACCAACAAAAGGTTTGCAGAAACAGTAACTGCTAACTGCCAGTGAACACAGATGCTTCAATATGGATGTTAATCATGACCAAAGAGGAAGCTCAATAAATAAAAGCAATGCTTTATAAGTGTTATATTTAAAATCATGTAGACAACTGACAGAAATAACACAGTATGTACTGAGTTCTATTTACTGCAACAAAATGCATTTCATTTCTGACCCAGGTGACTGAGCACAACTAGCATTAGCATTCAGAGTCACATAAGTTCACTAACTCTCAGAAGGATATGGCAAAAGTTGTAGCATAGTGCACCTGCTCAGCCAGGGCTGCACCAGGTCCATCCAAACCCAATTATAGTCCTGGCATCTGGGATCCCTGCAGCACAAGCATCTTTACTCAGCGCAGAAAACCCAACATCAAAGGGTGCCACACAGTGTGCACACACAGAGATAAGGGGGAAGGAAGAGATGTAAATTTTTGGCCTTGGTTCTGTCTCACTGCAAAAACACAAGCTATGTGGAATGGCACTCTAAGCACAGCAGTAGCTTCTACCATCCAGTGCTATGAAGGAATGAGAGCTACCTCACAGCTTGCTGTTGCCAGCCAGCCAGCCAGCACTCCTCTCCCCACCTTCCCTTCTCACAGAATTTGTACACTAAGCTTCATGTGTGGCAAAACCCAGTGCAATAAAACAAGACCAAGTAGTATGTTTGTGCTTTTCAGTACTTACCTAAGTAGGGCTTTGTCCTTGTTGAGATGCTGAAAGAAGGAAGGCTCACAGATGAGCTGGCTTTCCTGACAAACTTGTTTACAGGATTTTCCAGGTTCAGCAATTTTTACTTGAAGGGCACTTAATGGGGGCCACATCACTTGCCCATGACAAAAATCCTGCAGTGACAGATCATATTTTATTATGATGCATCCAGTCCCTTGCAAGTAATTTCTCCCATTAGTAAAATAAGTAGCTATTATCACCCAAACACTCATTTTGCAGCTCTTGTGGTCGTATCAAAATCATTAATTTAAGCACATTTAAAAAGAACTTTTTCTTTTTAGCATGAAGGAACCGTCACCTTTTATAGCTACTTGAAATGTGGTACTATCATTCTTACCACAGAAGCTTCTTCCCTAGTTTCACCATTTTTAATTTATCATAAACAACTCTAGCTAGCCTCTATTTCCACACACCGAACCCATTTTGGCTTTCTCAGTGATTCCTGTTTCACTAACTCGGTGCTAGCAGAACTGTTTTCTTAGTTATATATTTTCTAAGTGATACTTAGCACAGGGATCAGGAGGAAGTTCTGGTAGGAGAATTCCAGAGGCCTGTTACCTGCTAGGTGAGAAATGTCTCAAGTTGCCCATGTGGAGAGCCATGTGGAAAGGATCAGTGGCCAACTCTGGAACCCACACAGGGCAATCTAAAAGTTATACCATATATCTAAGAGCACTGTTCAAATGCTTCTTGAACACTGGCCTGAGGCCATGACCACTTTCTGTGGAGTTTGTTCCAGTGCTTGACCACCCTGTCAATAAAGAACTTCTGAAGTCCCCCTAATGCAGCTCTAAGCCATTTCCTCATGCCATATTTGGGGAAAAAAAAAATCATTTTAGGGTATATTTATGGCAGAATAATTTTAACAGCATCTGAAAAAACAGGTTAGTAATGGATAGCTGGAGGTACTTTTTAACAAGGTTGTTTCAAAAGGTCATTTTGCTGTTTGAACTTAAGTGCCCTGCTTATTCTGTCCTTTCATAAATCAGTATTAAAAATACTAGATGCAGGAAAAAATCTATATACTTTCAAAATCCAGCCCAGTACTGTAGTATATATATAATATATAATACTGTAATATATAGTAATGTAATACATACAATTTAAACTGTACTATTGGATTGGATTCAGAGCTAATGCACGCAGAAGACAAAGCTTTTTGAAGTGAATCGCTTGTGAGGCTTCACCATTTGCTGAGGGCTTCAGCTTTAAACATCTCTTAGCTGAAAATTCTTCCTCCAGACTGGGCACAGGCTCCCCTTGCCAGTCCTTAGCTTGGTGGGAAGCCTTCCCCTCAGCTTACACCACCTTGAAGCATGTCTCACAGTACATCAGTTTCACAGGTACTGGCACACAGGGCTCTGCTTCAGTTTGCTGTCTCTGGTTAGTTTTGCTACCAGCCACCAAAACAATCCTGAATTTGGTATCTTCACTCCAGTCTATCCTGCCACACAACCCCTCATGCATAAGGATGAAATAAAGAAAAGATGGTATTTAAATCAGAAGGCTATAAGCTTCACAAGAGACTGCATTTATGCTTCTTTTACCTATCACAACTTCGAGGTAAGACAGGCTTAGCACTGCCATCAAAGGAGGTATTCTCCCTTTGGCTTTTCTTGCTCTTGGAGGAATGTCCTTGCTCCACTCCCTCTGCCATGCTCTGGTGCTCAGCTGACCCTCTGCTGAGCAAAATCAATTTGCTAACCTAGTAGAGCCCTGCCAAAACCATTTTCTGCTGGGTTAACTAATACTCCACTTGACCACATCTTTCAAAGTATCTGTTGCATCAGCCCAGCCTGCCTCATCAAGCAGCTCCCAGGTTTGCAACAAGTAATTCCACAGCTGCTTCAGCTGCAGTTGCTTGGCTGCTCCTTTGATGGCAGGGCCAACTTCAGCAGTCCCACCCTTTGGCTCCCACTCTATGCTGCCGCTTCAAAGAGCTGACACGACTGTTTGTACAGCCACAGAGCAAACAGGATCAAGGGATGGATTCAGCAGATAGCGCAGATGCACTTAACAGCCACGCAGGGTCGCTGCCAAGGGCAGTGCACTGTCAGGGAGGAGTGGTGGCACTGCTAAACATGAAGCCACAGCTCACAGTAGTTCTCTCGCTTCAGACCCTAAAGACCTTCCGCTCAGCTGTCTGAAGACTTGGGGAATTCACTAAACCTTTCTTGTGAACACCGTCCTCCCTCCTGATCCTGAGCCAAGGCCCCAAAAGGGGAACTCCAGACAACTCCTTTAAATCCTAGAGTTTTATTGTCCCATATGGTGACTTGTGGGTGACTGTATCTGGCCCCATCCTCTTCACATTCAAACATCCCAGAAGACCACATTCTTTTAGTTAATGTACTGCAGAACTTCTGAACTTGACCAGTTCCATGCACCTTTGTTCCTGTTCCAAGCTTGTGCTGCTTCCTCTGTCCTGCCTCCCTCCCACCAAAAGCTCTTCAAAATAAGTTCTCAACCTTTGTTTTTGCTTCATGTGACATTGTTAATCAGGCACAGTGCTAAGCACATGCAGCTAATGATGATGCTTGAGCATGCTGGGGGCTGTGAAACAGTAATGGCTTTTGACAATCAGTCAAAGCAATGAACAAAATTACAATGCTCTATTTATTTCTGAGAAGCAGGCAGTACAGGCCAGGGCTCAGCACTTGGAGGAGGTCCAGAGAGGAGAAACAGATTTGCCCCACAAACACTATCTCTAGATTGTCTCCTTTTCTCCTTTACACTGAGCTCCACTTCTTCCTGTATTGACAAAACCTCTCAATTATAGCTAACTCGAGTAGAAGAATCAAAAGAAGCAGAGATACTTTTCAAGCTATGTCACAAATACAGCAGCAAAAAGCTTAAAGTGCTTATTGTCAGGAAACTGGAAACAGCTATGTTATGTTAACTACATTTCTGACCTGAAATCTTTATTACTGTATTTAATATCATCCATTTTCAGAAATACAGATAGAGAAGCATGTCCAGTGATTTCATTTTAAAGAAATCCTGGCAATTAATTGGCATATCAGAGATAAAGCTTGTTCCTATCTTTCTTCTGCAGCACCCAGAAAAAAAGGCAGAGCCAGTGCTGCAGCAGATCTGGCCCTGGGCAGAAGTCCAAGCAAACACACAGTTTCTAGAAATCAGGATCCCATAGCATTCTATGCAGTTTATTACTATAACTCAGTGTCCTCTGCTGCTCTCAGCTGGTGGTAATGCATGGGGACCAGAAGTCCTTTAAGTAACTGGCTTTCAAACCATTTAAAACTTTATCAACTGAAACTAAATACTTGAAAAATCTGCCCAGAGGCTTTAGCCTAAGTGCAATTCTGTGACAAATGTATCTCTATATTTATGTGATACCTCATGATCGAAGATTTTTTTCTGTGTGTACACAGTTAAAGAAGTCACATATACACTGCAAAATTAGTTTTCCTTTCTCCTTAACGCCAAGGACTGCACAGCTACTATTTCCACTTGAATGGCAAGAATGCTTTAAAATCGAGAGGGTTCTCCCTTTCCAGCATAAAACAAAAGAGTCATCCACAATAAAAGTTCCTACCTGTCTTTCAATAAATGCATTCATCCTCTGAAGCATCCCCTCACAGGTAAATTCATAGGGCAAATAAGGGTCAATCTGTGGAAATACAGTGTGTTAAGGTTAGAGTTTTTTTTCTTTAAATGAGCTTTGTAGTGTGCTGTGTGGTAGCAGCTTGTATTCCAAATGCTACACTACAGCCTAAGCAGCAACAATAAAACCAAATAAACTCATTAAAAAAATCACAATTTTGCAGAACCATCAGCAGTTTAAGCTGATCTTTTCTTGTTTTAAAGGCAATAAAAGTTGCCCAGTGATTATTTTAAGGACACTCATGGTATACTGCAACGTAATGCGTACAAAGCCAGCCTGAGACCCTAAGGGATTTCAGAGCTCCTGTTTTAACTAAATTTCAGTTCTGGAGTTGAAGCGAAAAATGAAACATTAAGACAAAAAAGGAATGTGATACCTTTGAAAATTACTTCAAACTTTCCCCCCACCCCGGCCCTTGAAGCGCCCTCATTACAATTCCACACTGTAAATGCACAAGTGCCTCAGCGGCAGCTATGTCAAGGCTACAAAATCAGCCAAAAGAGTTGAGCATGTATTTGGACAGCCTACAATGCCCTAAGAATCAGCAAGAAAACTTCCCCACTGAATGCACAGAAAGCACAGACTGCTGTATCACTTTGTATGAAATTCACATTGCTGTAAAATTCACTCATACTCATTTTTTCAGGTAAAAACCTGACATACCCACTACTAAATCAAACCATGATAATTACATACCACATATACATAACAACATTTTTCCCCACCCAATATCCTACCAAATTGCAGCACTCTGCTTTAATTAGACTAAGGAGCACTCTACATGTCGTACACAATGCACCCTTAAGTGCTGATGACAAACCCAGGATACATTTCTCACCTTTTGATTCAAAATTGATTTCACAGCTTTCTCAACTTCAGAAAGATCGTTGATGTCTACAGTCCACACATGGGGCTTCCCAATGTAAACTTCAGCATAGGGATGCTGAGATGTCAACTGAAAGGAAGAAAAGATACTGGTAAAAAATCAGTGTGTCAAGATGTCCTTCCCTCTCACTCTCTTCATCAGACCTTTTGGATGAAATCTGCTAGCATAACACAAGTATTCAGCCAGAATCTAACAGTGCCATTCTTTCCACGTTATCTTTCAGATTTTCTGCATTTAAATTTAGAGAGTGAATTTAGCTGGAAAACTGAAGATCAGGTAACGAAGATCACAAGTAACATTTGTGCCCCTCTAATTTGTGGCTTTGATCCTCATAATGACCCACATCACAGAAGAATTGATGCTTACTGAAATTATGCTTATAATGTGACTATTTCTCCCCAGAGCTCATTCACAGAGCAACTGTTTTCATAACCCGTAATTGCTAGCAGTCCTGGTTAGACCTGCCTGACTGGCTTCAAGAGGTGTCATCCTCACCCTGCCTCACCTTCAGACAATATCCTCACCCTGTCTCTTCTTCAAATTTCAACCATTTCCAAGATTCTGTGAGTAGCAGAGAATAAAGGATCATTTCTACAATTTAGGATGAATTCTGACTTGCGCTGGTGATAGTGCAAGAGTACTCTGACCTCAATAAGAGTGTTAAGTTGAAAATATTTTACTCACCACTCTGTGAGAAAACAAATTCCATAAATACCCAAGTAGATAACTAAGAAAAGTATCAGAGATTGCTCTCAGAACACGAAGGATGGCACCAAAATTTTTGTGACAGGAGTGAGAACATGCGAATGAACACACTGAGAGGAAGCAAAAGCTGGAGAAGAGAGGGGAGTGTTACACAAGCAGAAAGCAACTGCTTCTTAAAAAATTAAAAATCCCACACCCTACGGGACAGATTATTTGTAGACAATTTTTATGCAGTTGCATCTTTACGCATGATACGAAGAAAAATCTAGACAGTGCAAAAGATCTGAAGTAGGAGACAGTCTGTTGGACAGAACCCTCTCCTGCACTGGGCAAAGACAGTACTTGATCGCTTCCTCAAATGAATGTAAGGAAGAACTTAAAAAAAAATGTTGCCTATTGCAGTTTGCCTGTGGACAGGAGGAGCCAGTCTTAGCGTTTGATATGGGATCAGCTAGCAGAATTCTGTGCTCTGAGACCAATGCTCCAGGGGCCTCTGTGCAGGTTACACCTTTGGCTGCAGGGCAGTGTGGTGGTGAGAGTCCATGGACTGGCTGGAAGACTGTAGGTACTGGGCAGTAACTCAGGATGCTCCTGCACACAGACAGTTTCCATAGCTGCCCACATTCACTTGCAGCCCACTGCACCGTGCTCCCATTGGCATATTTTAAATTCCTCCAGACAGTCCAAAGACCCAAAGTGTTTGGGTTACCAAGACTGAGTTCCCAGGGCATTTATGTCTGGACTTCAGATGGATGAAGCTACAGTCATATTGCTCTCAGTAACAATAGTAACCTTCTACTGCACCTTTAAAAATATGAACATAAACCACTGTTTTAAATTCCACAAAGCTTTAGGAGTTATGCCTTAGACCACTCTTTCTCTACCATTTCATATAGAGAGCAAAATTCAAGCTAGATCTTATCTGGAAGACAAACAACTGAGCTTCTCAGACTAGTAGCTGTTTTAAGTATTAAGAGTAACTAGTAACGTATTTTTATTGCACCAGTTATTCTGCATCTATACTTAACCAAAAATATTAAGACTATTTCCTAATGCTGAAATCCTTTAATTAGCCAAGGTTTAATGATTTAGATATTCCAGAGATACTCCCTCTCTAACTAAAATCTCTAAGAATTCTTATAAAATAGATTTGGAATTAATTTGTAACTTCAGAATTTCAGATTTTTTTTCCTTCCTTTCTTCCTCAAAGCAGGCAATGAAAGAAATGACACCCACCAAGAACACATTTCAACTAGATTTATCATACAATGTTGTCTTTCTTTTGAGGAGAGTGAGTTGGAATGGAGAAGAAATATTGGTACAAATACTGGTACAAAAGAAGCTGCTTGAAGGTGACTTTTTCTTCTTTTTTCCCTGCCTTTTTCCTTCAGCAAAATCATGTCCTAAGACAAAACAACTGCTGATCTAAAATGCAAATTGCAATTTCCAGTTTTTGTACAGAGTTTTCACTACAGGACCTCACCCTGGGGGGAGAGGGGAAACAATTAACTCCCCAATGGCCAATAAATTCTACCTAGAACAAGATGGAGGTAGTGACTTGCAGTGGTTACATTATGAAAGTGCTAAGCACAGAGTTTATCTTCATCTGGATAACCAACTTGCAGAACTACACATGCTTTTTTTTGTTCTCTTTTAACATTTGAAAAAAAACTGAGAGGAGGATTTAAGAACTTTCTTAATCCCAAAGAACCAGCAGATGGATTACTGGCAATCAGATCTAAATGCAGTTGTGAAAACCAGTTAAGAGAAAAGGTTACTCATAGCATAGGTCAGCAGAGCATGTGAACGCAGCAGTATTAGTGCTGAGTGTTCATTATACTATTTTCTACTTAAGTAGTCAAGAGGGATTATTTTTCTGTGCAAGTCAGGTGCACAGCATTTCTGCTAGTGCTGACACATGCCAGAGGCATTTAGCACAGCATTCCAAGCTCTAAAGTTCCTACTAAAGAGTTAGGTGGGTCCAGATTATTTACTGAGCCTCACCATTATAGTGTCTGGGCACAGAACAACTGGAACTGAGACAAACAGTCAAACAACCATAGAAGAAAAGCTTTGAAAGGTGCCATGCCCAAGGAGAAAATTTAAACAGATTTTTCCTCCCTTATTATTACTGCCTTTGTCAGTGATGCAAGCTGTAAGAATGAGTTTGAACTCATGTCCTGAACAAATAACAAGCTGAAAGACAATTACAGGTCTGGATCACAAAATCACAAGAACCTTATGTTCCTATCTCAAAATATGAAACTGTCTTTTGCTGATCAACTTCGGCAGTGCTCAGTAAGCAACTTATATAGCCCAAGTGTAACTTAAATTGGGAAATATGGCTCTGTAAGGTTCTCACATAATCTAAGTGTTAACCTGAGAGCTTCCCCTTCAGATAATTATGTAAAGAAAATAAGCATATACATGTAGGTTGGACCAGATGATCCTTGAGGTCCCTTCTGACCTGGTATTCTATGATTCTATGGTATTCTGTGATACACCTATGAAGAAGCCATGGTCACAGACAAAAGTGCTGTCAGAGATGGCTACATGACTGTTAAATGCTTGCAAGTGGTAGAGGTTGAATTTTACCTACACTGAAGAAAAATATTCCAAAGTCAGCACCAGGATGAGAGGCTCATTTACTTAGCCTCATTTTTCTCTTGCTTGAGTCTAAACACACTTGCTGATTCGAACCTTAGAGGTTTGGTTTTCCTGTTCTCTTAAACAGCCAATTCTCCAAATGTCTTCAGTGTTTAATCACAAACATGGTGGGGTGTGACCATTAATAGCTTAGCTTAACAGTGGCTTGAACAGGTCCTTTCTGAGAAAGGACATAATATCCCAAAATACACATCACCACCCACAAATTTCATTTTTATAATTTACTTAAATGCCTATTTACTTCCTGCACAGTACATGGTAATGTTTGTTTCTTCAACAAAATAGAACCACTTTCAAATGATACGTCATGTACCAGATGACACAACCTCTTCCTGGGCAGAAGATCCGGTTTTCAAGTGAAACTTCAGTTTATGAGCTATCAGTAATAAGAAGCAGAATGTACATACAGGCAAATCTAGAGATAAAGCTTAACAGTATGTTAATGAAAAATTTTGATTATCTTATAAAAATAAGGACTGACAATCCCACTGATGGCTAAAGAAAACAACAGTTGCACACCTTTTGCCATAAACTGTGGATACTGATTTTTTCCTGCATTGTGTTACTAGAAAGAAATCCACAATCATTGTTGATATAGAAATTATCAAGATTGATAAAGCTTACCTCACGGAGTGTAGGTTTGCCTTTGAAAAACTCTGTGTTTTTGCTACTTTTTGGTGGGTTAAATCTTAAATTTAGAAAAGCACATCCGTTAGCAATAGCCTCCAAAGGAGCTGGCCCTTCATATGGAAATCCAAGACCGACGAACAGCTGAAAAATAGAAAACAAGAGCTGCCTTATTTTTTGTTCTTTACAAAACCTGACAGTTAAGAGCCAACTTAAAACAAATAACAATGCACTCTAAATGGACCAGCCTAAAAAAAAAAGTAACATTAAGAAGAAAATGGGAGGAATTCAGCAGCTCACCACCCCCCTACCCAAGCAGTTACAGAATGTCCTGCAAAACACATTTGACAACAATCTGCTGTAGTGAGCTGAGGTGGTCTTTTGTGGAGCTGAGGCAACAGACCCTTTCAGTTACTTCTTGGGAAAAAAGTCATTTGGTGGTTTGACTGGTGTTGAAATGGAACTGCTGGCGCTCTCCTGCATGTCCAGGCTTTACTGCAGCAACCTCACGGAACAGCTACACTACTGTTTTCCCCCTCTCTCCCACATCAGCCAACCTGCTCGTTTTGCCAACACGAACATACTCCTGGCAAACCCATTAAGCCTTATAATTAAAACGGTAGATGGCAGCAAACATCAGCTGAAGACACTACCTCGGCAAGAGCTTGCATAGGATTAAGAGGGCTCAACACCACCTCCAAGGTATCAAAGGAGGAAAAAGGCATCACAAAGCTATTCTTATATCAGCTGAGATTAGAGGTGCTCTAGACAAGGCAGTGCTTTTCTCCAATCTAAAGAAATTTAGTATTTTTTCAGAATTGCCTGGCTTTTAGTTGGATCTTGACCCCTTTCCTGGCCCAACATAATTAACCACCCTGAACCAAATACAGGATTCTTCATCTTTATTTCTATGTCTGTATATAATGGGAGAATTACAAACTCTGATTTATAACAGTAATTTCTCAGCACTGTTACATCATTTTATATATATATATATATACACACTGCCTTTTTCTTTTCAAGAAAATAAAGAGCAATCTTCATAACTATTAGGATCATGTATTCAGGGTGTACGTATTCCAAGAGGTCAAATACTATTCCACATTCAATTTTCTGCAATACAGAAATGAATCCTAGTAACAAAAAATTCAAAACTGAAGGCCCTTTCTAAGAGCTGATCTGAACTTTGACGTATAAAACTGTAGTCAGTATTGTCATGCACAGGTATTGCAGTATCAATCCTCTCTGACCCATGACAGCAACAGTACAAATTGTGAGTTGGCTCATTTTAAAAAGAAAGTTAACACTTCTTGGCATAGTTGAGGTCATACAATTTTCACTGCATAGAGCTGCATATTGTTAGTTTTCAACTGTCACGTTAAAAAAGTCACCTACTTTTAAAAAGTTTCTCAGCTATCTCATGGATTTAAATCTTACAGTGGCTGATTGAAAAAGAAGATCTGGAAGACTATCTCCATTAAAGTTAGATTATCTAAATTTGGGTTTCATCTACAGCATAAGATATATTACCTTCCAATCAGCAAAACCACATCTTAAATCTCGTCTCAAAAGAGGCTTAATTTAAAGAAAGGTAATCTCTTGAAAATAATGAATTACAGACATCAAACCATTTCATGCAGTCTGCACACATATTGTTTTTTATTTAAACTGCGCCTTAGTTCAGGTGGAAAACCAGCTGAGAACCAGCAATTAAAACCATCTGAAGTATCAATTCTCCTATGATCCTGTGTTTGTCTGTTATGTGGAGAATGCTGGTTTGTTTGCTTAGTTTTTCACTTCTTTAATAAACTGCTGCTGTGCATTGCTTAACAGTTCTGTGTCTGATTGGTCTATTTATTTAGGAGGAAGCTCCATGGGGAAAGAAGCATGGGTTTATGTTCTGTCAGCACAGAGCACACTGTCAGCACTTAATCTATAATAAATAGTTTACCACCTGTTTCAAATTTGTTTTCCAGCCTTACCTCTAAGCAGCACCATACCTTTGACGAAAGAAAGATGTGTCTGATTGCTAGAATTGTGTATGTGTGTGCGCTGTCTGTTGGCCTGAGGTTGCAGCCTGTCCCGCAGCACCCCCTTCTTTCAACCCTCCAAAATCTTCTATCACTCGCCATCATCCCATTGTCATCAGGTCAGCAGAAATTCCCCAACTCAATCTAGACCCTGCTCCTGAAAATTCACCTTGATTAACATTCCTTGGTTAGGGAGCTAGTATTTTTGTATGGTACAAAGATCAAAACTGAGGAATATCTTAATTGCCTGAAGAAAGTCACATTCATTATGTTCAAAAAAACCAAGCATTAGAGAACACAGGTCACTTCTGTAACTCATTCTTATGATGCCCTAATTTGCTAATCCTTTGAATTACATGCAGCTTGTTATTTCCAGAAAGGCTAAAACAATCTGTCAAGATACTTCCTGAAAGCATGCAACACAATGCTGTAAGTCACTAATTGAAAAAGAACTGGGAGGAAAAAAAAAATTAAAAAAAAAAAAAAAAAAGAAGAAATAACAGGCAACAATTTTCAGGTACCAGCGAAGCAAGCATCCATGTAGAGCTGAGGCTGTGTGGAAGTCAGATCTCTTTCCACAGACTGGTAAAGATTTAGAACAGACTGTATTTCCACGATTTTGTGATCTAAATTGTTGCCCCCACCACATAAGGTGCTGACTATGGTTTTTTGGGTACTCTCTTACTGGACACTATGTCTGGTAACACAGTCCACCATGGAGAGGCACCTTCCCCTCTGAAGGCTGAAGCTCTATAACGCAAAATCTGTAACACAAAACTCCAAACTTGACAATGTTGGCAATATAACTGTGGGTACATGTGGTTCAAAAATTTTAGCCCTGATCTTGCTTTGTTAGCTGCAACAGAATTGCTATGCAGAGTAGAATTCCTTTATGCTTTAATGATTGATTAGTGCTTTAAACCATTTCATTTTCGCTATGTGAGCATTTTTCTCACTTTTCAAATGTTTCTGAAAACCGAAACCATTATTTTTCATACAGTGCTTTAAGGGGGCACATGACACAATGGGCTCTGTATTGCTAACGCCCCATATAACGAGATGATTAACAGGAGGAGATTACCGTATAAAAGTCTGTCTAAAGGAGATAACAATAAATAAGTAGAGATGTAAAATCATCACAGTAATGGCAGCATGTTTTGTTTCTATTTTTTTAAACCATTTCCTTGTTTGCAAGGTCACTACCCAGGTGTGCCGGTGCCTGTAGGTCTGCATCAATCAGAAAAGGGGTTTCGTATCTGCAGTCTCACTTGCCCAACTTGAGCAAAGCAGGTGTTGAAACCCTTAAGCATCAATTCTTTGGTTTTCATATGAAAGGCTCCTCAGGAACCTTTTCTGCCTTTGCAGGGAACCGAACCCCTGGTTTGGACTTTCAGGCTTTTGAGTTGGCCACCCAGCATCAGACCTGCCAAGACACCATTCTTTTCCGATCATAATGTAAACAGTCCTTTCATGGTGTAAGAGCCAAATGGAGACTTCTCTGACATAAAAAAGTGCTTCACAATAACTCCCATTAAAAAACAGCATAGTTTTATTTTTTGGAAACCACTTAGTTGACACTAAGTAATTAACTTGAGGAGTTTACGGCACCAGATCAGACTATTATTAAAATGAGAATTTGAACAAACAGCCTTTCTAAATTATAGCCAAAAGGATAAAATAAGGAGTGAATGCTTTACTTCACTGACTGTAACTTTGAGTAGCTGAATATTTAAAAGAACAATTTCATATTCCAGAGACTAAATGCTACAGATCCAGAAAGATGGGTGTTTATCATCTCCTCCCCAGTTTCTAACATTACTCACTTTAGCTAATATATTCTATTGGGTTGGTAGGTTTATCACCACTTTTGCTTGCCTCTTGACTGAACTACATATTCTCTTCTGAACTACAGAAAAGGATGTGTAGCAAAGGTTAACTATCTTGATATATTTTTCTCAATATAAAATTATTTCTGGAAAAGTCCTTTTGTGATTGAAACAACTTAGAAAAGACTCACTAGTTAAATGTCTTTTCAGATGATCTTGTGAAGTGTGTGGAAGTGAAAAATGCATTATTTCCTAAAAGACAATATGAATCTAACCCTGCAATGGGATTTTTCCAAAACTGTCTAAACAGGGTTTTGCTTCCACTTAGTAAAAGAATTTGGATCCCCTCAAAAATTCACAGTGACTAGAAGTACAAAGTTGCATCTGAAACTGTCTCAAAAGGAGGAATATTCTCAAGAATTCAGTAGTGGTTCTTCCAAGAGAGTCTGGTCCAACTCTTCCAGCTGCCCACTTGGCAAGAAGCCACATAAGTTGGCAGGAAGGCTGCCAGCTCGCCTACCCTATTTTCCTCTGACGTGATGAATGGCTTTACATCTTCTCATTAGGAACTGTTGACATGTTGCAGTTTTGCCATGTGCTACACGGCTGAACTAGTCATGATGAATCTCAAACAGCCCCCTCCTGCTTGGAAAACACACTTACTCGGAAATGCGCTGCTTTATAACACACACCAAAATGAAATGGCAGCTGCATGCTTTTGAGAGTAACTGTGTCCTATACTGGAGAGAGACCAAATACGTTCTGGGAATGCAAAGCTCTGATCAAGAATCATGACAGAGCCGTCACCTATCAGTATATCGCTGTCTAAGGGCAAAATGAAGCACTGCAACTGACACTTCTGAGAAGAACGAACTGTGTAATTTTTAAAATTATTATTTAGATCTGGCTTTCTGAAACCTAGCTTATGTCATCTGACCTAATAAACACTTGCTAACACAATGGTGAAATCACAAGCAATGAAAGACAATCCTTGCGATTGTGTCTCAAAACATATGTTTAGATTAAGAAAAATCTGAAAGTTTCTGGACGCTTAAAGACATAGGTTGCTGCTTGGAGACAGCACACAGCAGGCCTAGATGGTTCAAATGAGCACTGTACCCACAGATGTTACCATCCTGGAGTTACGGCTCTGATTATTCATGTACTTTCAGCAAACTGATTGTCTAGTGACAAATCCCCATAACTAAATTCATTATGGGGTTCTGGTCATGTTGCCTAGCGATTAAAGTGATTATGATTAAAAAGTGTCCTTAACCATCACTGAACGCATGTGCACACATGCACACATACATGAGGCTCCTCAGGGCACAAAGCTCCCATTCAAGTCAGCTTGATTTTTGTGAAAAACCTGCACTTCTTTTAGCAATTCAATCCATGATCCATTTGATATAAACACAACTGACCCACACGGGCAGCAGATGGCCAGTAGAGAGAGGTGAGTGGTGTTTTATGCTAATCTACATTGAAGTGTTGTCTCAGGATATCAAAATCTGAAACTTAAATGTACAGGCAACAAGAAGATTTAGAACAAGTGTGTCTGTTGATCAACACTGAGAGGCAACCATATGCTAAGGCGGAACAGCCAGTGTACCTAAGAGGTACCAAGCATCAGCTAGCAAATAAAAACACCAACCCCAAAACCAACCCCAAAATCTGCCTTCAATTGAGAAAGTCCAAACAAATTAAATGGTAAATTTCAGTTTCCACTTTCAATCTCAGGATGCTGCTGTTTCACTTCTTCTGTTAAACTATATATATCAGAACAGTGTTAGACAGAATAACTGAGATTAATGCTGCAGTAGACCATACTTAATTTTATTTTGTTGCAACATCAGAAATACGCTGCACTCCCATTTGCCTGACAATAGTAAGTATTAGGAGAAGCAGATGGACACTTAACTGCTTATCATCGTCAAAGTTGTGCTAGCCTGGCTGTATCAGAAATAAATAATTTCCTTAAAAGGAAAACAGCTTTTGTCATTTGCAAATCTGCTACTAAAGCTCAGAAAAGTCACCTGAAAATACTATTTGTGGACTTAATTAATGCGGACTTAAAAATGATGTGTTTCTCAGTGCCATCTACTAAGAAATGCAACAAATTCTCAAAGGATTTCCCCCAGTGTTAGGAATCAAAAAAAAACAACCCCAAAACAATGCACAAGAGTACAGAAAATCATTAAAACCTAAAGTGCTTGTAGGACTCTAAAAACAGCACAGTGTAAATCCAGGCTTTTCATAAAAATATAATTTGTGAAAAATAAGCAACTCACTGAGCTCAGGAGAACTTCAAAATCACAAGACAGTTATCTTCTATCTGATACTGCAATTAGCTGAAAACTGAGTGAAATTAGTCTGGCTACTTCCTGTGTCACAAACCCCATATAACTTCATTGCGCTGATCTGTATAATATGTTTGTATTGGCTGGAATCTGTCCTTAAAATGACAGTGTTTTTACACTGCATCTCAGACCACTGCAAATATGACCAATAACAACTAGATATGCTATTTGATATTGAAAATAAAGCTCTTTAGTGTAATTCATGTATGATGACTGATAAAGAATTAGAGGTAGGCTCAGTCAAGTGTAACTGTTATAATGAACTTTATAAATTGTAAGTACTTCAGTAATTCTATAGGAAGTTCAGGAGCTTATTTTACTATTCAGTGAATCAAACACTTTTTTTCTTTCCCCCAGAAGGAAGTCACTGTTTGTGCTTGGGGTTATTAAAATGTCAATATTCTTCCCACGTTAGTACTATGATTAATACCGTGACTTCATGCTCTGCACAGGCAAGAGCTGTGTAATGTCAGTAGTATCTGTGACGAAAGTGTTGACTTTTTAATCTGCAACAATGTGTATCTGTATGCATTAAGTACATCAGACACACAGTGGTTGCCTTTAAAAGTCATAATTTGCCAACAGCTGTCACTGTTGGCAAATTTGCCAACAGAGATGTCAAATTACCATCATTTTCCCAAATATTCAAAACGGAGATTTCTGCAGTCATGTGGGAAGACTAGGAGGTCCTTGCTTTTTCCTTTTCCTTTTTTAATAGATTCTTCTGTAGAAGTGCACAGCAAGGAACTATCAACAATGGGGAGTAAGTGCTGCAGTTCCACACATTTTGCTAATTGTAAACACACAAATCAATTCTTTCACCAACTGAAAGTTAAACATCTTATTTATACGTAATAACTCTGCTAAAGTGTTTTAATGTTGTAAAGTGCCACAGACGTTATGGGAACGGCACAGAAAAACTCCATAAGGCATTCTAACTATGGGTACGGAAGTTGATTTATTTCAGTCTATATAGTGTCCCTTATCTTGAGTTCCCTTGACTATGAGGTCACAGGCAAAGTACACCACAAAAAGCACACTCTTTTGCTCGCTCTCTCTGCACCACTGCGGTAGAGGAAGGAACTGAATGACGAATGAAGTGCTTACTTTTCCTCTTTTCTCCCCCAGAGAGTAGGGTTGCTCCAGGTTAAAGTCATTGGTAGGGCAGAGCAAACATGCCTACTGTACAGCTTTTCACATCAGGGATTGCAAAACAAAGCACATTCTCAGCTGATAATCTCCTTGAGCTAAATATCACATTTAAGAAAATGAAATACATATTTTTCAAGCTGGTTGTTAAATGTGTCTGTGACTGTAGGTTGTCATCAAAATTTTCTAATAACAGCTGTCAATCCACAAGACATGGACACAAGGAAAAACATATTCTTAGCAGAAGACAACTTAAGCTCCTTTCCATTTGATAATTTATTTTTCTAATACTTTTAAATTAGGAGCTCAGTTGTAGGAGGTGAAAAGCATGCACTTCAGATACTGTCTGTCTGTAGCTATTTTTGCCACTACTCCCTCTTGACAAACTTACTTTGGTTTCCCTCAGTAGAAACTGCAAATCCCGCCCACTGAGTATGCCATGGTTTTTTACATAGCCAGGAATATACATGGTGCTTGTCCCGTGAACAGTTCCATGGACTTCCATATAGGTGTGGATGATGTCCAGGTAAGCCTTCTTATCCTGTAATAGCAACAATAAAATATGTTCAGTCTAATTTATGCTTTTCAAGCAGTAGTGTTCAAACACAGCTGTTTTTTCATCTCCTGTACTACAAAAGCCAGAAACAGAAGGTCAGCCATTCTTATATGATTTTTATCTTTCATTACATTATTAATTTTATTTTATACTAGACAGGAAGAAAACTGCATCTTTTTTATTCATAGTATAGGTATAAATAAGTACCAAGGTCCCATTAATTTCTAAGTGGACAAAAAAACAGGTCACCATTGGACAGCTGTAATCTCAGCATGCCTGAATAATACTTGGCCTAAAAATACAAAAAACCTCATTTTGAGATATTAAATTTTCACTCTGTTTTTGTAAGAGATGCAAAATAATTATTGTTTCTCTTCTTTGTGAAGAAAAGGGTGAATCTCACCTTAGTAACATACAGTCTTGCCAACTGAATAACTGAATACACATTTTATCTGAATACCTAGCAACTGAGTCCCATGAGATACCTACAAATATTCCATTTACCTGAAGTTTTAAAGGCATTTTGGAAAAGAACCAGAAAAGAGTTGCATTAAAAAATTCCAAACCAACAAAATCCATCCTAGTTTGCAAACAAGAATTACTTTAATTTTCAATGCCATATGTTTTTTTAGTTTTGAAGACTACTGGTATTCCAAAAGCAATTAGCCGTAGTTTGTATTTACAGGCAGTATGCAACACAGATCAGAAAGTCCTTCCGTCAATATTTGCACATACTCTTAGTAATAGCTCTAAAATCAGGCAACAAGTTCCTGTACTTCTTGGCAGCGAGTTTTTGATAATTCTACTTTCAGTATTTTTTGTTATGTAAATTCTGTACACTGTTACTCCACAGCCCTGTATGAAAGCCAGCCAACAATTCTACTGAAGTTCATTCACAGGGTAAGCATATTGGTGAAAATCCTGTCTTTTCAAACCTTGGAGGTGCATTAAGGTATCAGCCCTAGGTGAACGAACACTACCACTTCTTAAAGCTTCCTTGCTAAGTTAATTACCAGTCTGCATTCAAATACACAAGGTATTTAATGTCACGTAACAACTGGCTTCTAGCTTTATCTTGCTCTACTGGTGATACTGTCTGTGATGAGGTAGACTGCCTGCCTCATTATTTAATCGCCCTTTTCTGGTAGCTATGCCAAGACTGCACCAGTTCGACAATGTCCTGGGCTAAGTATTACATAAAACTGCCAACAAATGGAGACAAATGTGCTTTCTCATTTTGATGAAAGGCTGCACTTATTGTTAATTAGCACAATCTATTTAAAAAAAAACAAATAAACCTAAAAGCTTGCTCCATTTTTTATTTTTCCTTTTACTTCAAATTTTAATAACCACAAAAGTATGTTCCTCCCACTACTTGTAAAGTAGCATAAATAGAAACTGTTGAGAACCTCATATACTTTATTAAGAGAAATTCCATTGTAAAACCTTTTCTTTGCAAATGTGCAGGAGAAATTGTAGATTGTAGGTAGATACAGATTAGATATAAGGAAGAAGTGCTTCCCTGTGAGGGTGGCAAGGCAATAGAACAGGTTGCCCAGGGAAGCTGTGGACCCCATTCAAGGTATTCAAGGCCAGGTTGGATGGGTCTTTGAGCAACATGTACTGCTAACGGAATCTGCCTATAGGAAGAACACTAATTTACTTGGTCTCAGATTTTATTGGCTCATGACATACAAACTGATGACATGAAGGCACTCCAACTCAAGAAAAATATAAGAAGCAAGCAGCTAGAAAGAACAAAACCAGGATAACCTAAAACTGCACTTACTATAATGATTTCAATGATAATTTCACAATTTTTTATTTACCTACTCTGAAATAAAATATTTGACATGAAAATTATTAGTCTTTACAATTTTTCTAACAGTTTCTGAGAAATGGTATTATTGGTTAGAGGACTGTTGAAGATTTTATATAGGTTCAAAAGGAAATTATGGTAGAAAAATCCATGAATCATTACTGAACAGAGACACACAAATTTTGGCCTAAGAAATCCATGAGCCACTTGTCTCTGTTGGCTGTGAAACGCAACTGTTTTCACATTATTCCTTACACATCAAGTTTTGCCTATCTTTGGAATCAGAACAGTGGATTACATAAAACTTTGATCTGAACTGACCTCGCTGCCATCTTATTTTTATTAGCTTATTTTCAAAGATGAATATAAAATGGACCAAAAGAAATGTAACATCTTCACAGGGCTTCTATTTACAGGTGATGCCAATAAAAATCTAGTGGGATTCTGAGAGGCATCTGTGTTATTGTGAAGTTCATTGACTAAATTCTGCTGAAAACACTTTCATAAATACAACAGTCCTTGAATTTAGCCCAAAGTATTCCTCAGATCATTTTGTAAATAACTGAATCTTCCTACTATATCCATGTGTCCTCTATACAAATACTAGCAGTTGGTTGCTACAAAATGGGGAATACAGGATTAAAAACAAAAAAAAAGGAGTACAAATAAAGACAGGCTTTCATACTGTATTTACAGTAGTATTTTTCAGGGGCAGAAGGAGGGCTTTTACTTAAACTCTATATTTACAAAAGTATGTTAGAAATACTACTATTAAATCAAATTTAATTAATATAAATTAAATTTTACATTTAACATTAATATACAACTTATCAATACAATTTAGGAAAACAAAGCAAAAGCACTGATAAATTTAGCATGTTTTAAGCATCTCTGAAAGTGCAAACAAAACACTGAAACAACAATCCATAATCTTAACTGGGAACATTACTGAAGCATAAGACTGACTGCTTTCCTGATTCAGAGTCTAAAACCAGAGATAAAACATTCAGTATGCCAAAAAGCATCCATTTTCCCATCTATTAAGAAAATAATGGGCTTCTAAATGGTATTGCTAGGTTTCCACCTCAACAAGACTGGGCAACTACTATAGACTCCGTTACAGAGCATGTAGAAACAGTTTTTTCTCACAAAGGAAAACTTATAGATAGATAGGCACAAGTAAAGGGATCAATACGTAAAAAAAAAAAATAAATTAGTTTTCAAACCACAAGAGTAAAAAGATGAAAAAAAAGTCCACAAAAGTCCACTGCACAAAAGCTGAGAGAAATCTTTCATCCCACAAAGGACAACCCTCTTTCTGTTAATCAAATGAGATTTTTAAAGAATTGGAACCAAGAGCAGTATCTTCCCTTTGTTCCCTGTACATAAATTTTTCTAGAAGTCTTTCTTACTGAAGGAAACCACAAAAAGCCCAACCAAAAATTCAGAAGGCACAATCCACAACACTCCTTTGTTCCCTTATACATCTTGAGTCAAAAGTAACTGCTTTTATAAAATATAAAGTACCATAAAAATACCGTTAGCAAAATACCTTATACCTTACACAAATCTCAGTAACATTTACCTACTTTTGCATTTAAGAAGTCCTGAATTTCCACGTTCCTTGTAGAAAACCGTTATTTCTGATAATGAAAGTATGTCTTGTAATAACCTACTTCACAAAAGTAAGCAGGACACATAATTCAATTCTAAACATTAAAACCATTGAATTAGAAAATGAGAAAGCGTAAATATGGCATTTATAAATAGAAAGGCTACAAGTAAATAAATCAAGAAATGTGATTTGCAAAATACCAATGTTCCTTCAACTGTTAATCCACTTCCTTGCTTGCTTGGGTGCAGATACAACTTTTATCTTAAATCATTTGACATAAACTCCAGATTTTTGCTTTCTTCAAAATGAATTCAAAGAAAAAAGACCGTGGGCTGCTGGCTAGTAATGCAAAATCAGCATTCTCCACAGAGTTTGTTTCACTGTACTCTTCACCTCTATCTGTCTGCTATCCATGCGACAAATCTAGACTTCAAATATGAAACGCAACATCAAAAAAACCCCCAATTTGTCCTCAGAATCAAAAAGGAAATGTAACAGTAACAGTTATGCAAACCTTTTCTGAAACAATTTTTCAGCGGCTACAATAAATATGCCACTCAGGAAAGTACTTTTTGTTGATCACTGACTGCAGAACTGTTATTACTCTTCGTCAGTTATTTCCACCTACTTTTAAAAGCATCATGATAAGGGCTTTCTCATCAAAGAAATCAAATGACAACTGTTCGATAAGTCTTCCACTAGGACAATATTGACAAGATGACAATCTGAAGTGTTGAAATTTTTAAGTTTGGTGTGTGAAAAATTTAAGTATAAAAGCTACAAAAAAATACGCTGTAGAAACATGATGCATTAAGATCTAAACTTTGTGTATATCCTAAATGCACACTGTTAAGTCTAGAAATCCTAACATCTTGGTGATTATTTGCTAAAGCGTCAAGTCCATGGTAAGACAAAATCCGGTGTATATGCAGTGTATGACAGCTGACATTGTGACACAAAACATAAGATTTGGAAAACCTCTTTTTCTCTTTCCAAGAACTGTCACACTCTCAAAGACTTTTCAAGACATCCTTGAATAATGAAAATCCCATCCCACTGGGGAACTCGAAGAAAGCACAAATGCTGCAGAATTCAAGGTACAATATTAAGACATTTAAACGGATACAGTGTTTAACTGTACCGGTTTTACAATGGTAAATCACAAGGAGTAGATGATTTTGGAGCTCAAATATGAAACTTTCAAACTGCTAACTGCAGAGTACTTAATGCAGAGTACTGAATTTATACAGGATCTGGAGAAGATGCAGTGACTCGTGACTAGCAAGTATGAATTCCACATTGAAATTCTCTGAAACTTAGAATCATAGAATAGTTAGGGTTGGAAGGGACCTTAGGATCATCTAGTTTCAACCCCCCTGCCATGGGCAGGGACACCTTACGCTTAATCATATCACCCAAGGCCTCATCCAACCTGGTCTTGAACACTGCCAGGGATGGAGCATTCACAACCTCCCTGGGCAATCCATTCCAGTGCCTCACCACCCTAACAGGAAAGAATTTCCTTCTTATATCCAACCTAAAAACCTAATC